CACCATTCAAATCACTCTGCATTTATTAACTCCATTCACACAACCACCCTATGAAGTAGAGAGCGTTACATTTTACAATGGCACTAGTCATATTTTGAATGATTTCAGTTCTGATACCATATTTGGCTATGCTGGTTCCGGCAGCATCTCTTTAAGATTTTGGTCTTCTCATCTTACATGCTCCTGATCCCACTCACCCACACTCCTTCTAAAGTATCCCCACAGCCTCTGCATCGTTGTTGCTTCTGGCAGGAAAGACGCTCATCATGCAGTGTGAAATTGTGTGCTTTCTTTCAGGGGAAGTGTCACACTTGGCCAGAAAGAGTAGGGGGAAAGTGCTGTGCACTGATGGTGGGTACTTTATAAAGCGACTGGCTGGCATGGGTAGAAGAGAAAAGATGGAAAGGAGACAGCATCCCTCATCTCTGTCGTTTTGGGGACGGAGTCAATACACACCCCCTAGTGCCACAGGAGGCCTGCCTCAACTTTCATCACTGACTCATGTCCCTGCTTTCACACATGACTTATTCTTTCCCGTCAATGAATTAAGTATCTAGAAAAACCATTTCAAGTCATAGTCAAGAGTCGTATATATTTGTGTGCGAATGCCAATTCCACCACTAATCACATGGCTCTCTCAGGCCCAGTTTCCTCCTCTGTAAAATGAAGATAATTGTCTCATAGAACTGTTTTAGAAAATGAGAGGGAAGGTACATCCGCACCCCTACCCAGCACTTGGCATGCATAAGCCTTAATAACTATTACCTGTTACTATTACTGTTGCTACTGCCACTGTATTTTTCCTTCAAGCTACTAAACTCATCATTGTTATTAATGCATATCCAAATAGTTCTTGAAAAAATCCTCTAAAATTGTGTTACCCAAATAACTCAAAAAAAATGAAATTTCAGGTTTGCAGAGCAGCCCTTTACTCCTCAAAGATGCTGTATTAGTTTCCTGTGGCTGCTGTAACAAATTACCACAAACCTAGTGGATTAAAACAGCACAAAGTTGTGATCCTGCAGTCACAGTCAAAAGTCTAAGATGGGCTGTCCGGTGACTCTAGAGGAGAAGATGCAATCTTACCCTTTCCAGCTTTAGATGAAGAAAATGTTCCCTTGCCCTTCCCACATTCCTTGGTTCATGGTCCCACGTCATTGCGATCCTTGCCCATCATCACATCTCGTTCTCTGACTCTCATATTTCTCTCTCTCCCTTACAAAGATCTTTGTGACCACATTGGGCCCACCCAAATAGCCCAGGAGAATTTTCCCCTCTCAAAATTCTTATATATCTGCAAAATCCTTTCCACTATATTAGATAACATATCCACAGTTTCCACAATTTAGGACATGGACGTCTTTGGAGGACGATTATTCTACCCACCACAGAAACCATGAAGAAATAGCCATTGAAAAGACAGTTGTCTCCATAGAGTCCCGCATTCCTTATTCAGTGTTTATACAGTCACTGCTAATCTTCCAGTGCCCCTGATTCTCTCTGTCTCCCAACATCTCTGAGGGTCAGTGTCCACACGTGTCACACAATAATGGCCATACTGCATCTAAAGAGTTGGGTGGGGAATAACCAGTGTACTTAAGTAGTAAAATGTTTAGCAAATTGTAGAATAAAATGCTGCATAAAAATGAACAAATAATAATTTAACTGTCTCACAAGTCAATTAATAGACTCAAACTGCTCTAAGATCTTTAGATAAAAGGCATTCTTCAGATGCCAATTGTACGTTGGTGTTTTGCCTTTGTGCTCACTTCCAGCCATCTATCAAAAGCACACTTCAGTTCGTTTTTCCTTTTTCAGATAAACTATCTAATTTTCTGCCCCTGTGGCTTTCCTGAATGTCTCCTCCCCCAAGCCTTCCCGTGGGAGAAATGTAACTCATTTTCTTCTCTGGATTTTCTGTGGGTGGGTAGATATGGCCTCTTTGACTAGTCTTTTTCTTTCCCTTTGTTGTCAAGCTACAGCTTTTGCTGCCTCTGACTTGGTTTTTAGCTGTGTAGCTGTGAGTTTGCCACCTCTCTTTTGAGCTTCATCAAGGGCTGCTGTGGCCTGATATGTAGGTTTCTTTCTAATTTCAGTCTCCAGGGGGGATGAAGTCGATATGGTTGTTCACCTGCTGAGTTAGGAGTTTGCCCTTATACACACACCATAATATTTTATTCTGTTGCAGGGAGCATGCAGCATTTATACTTCCTTGGACTCCCACATGAAAACAGAAGCAGCTACTGTGTGTCCTTCAGAATTCCTCATGCATTGCCTTTGCTGCCTGTGGGTGGGCAGGAATAGACAGCCAAGCACACTAAAGAAAGAAGGTGCAGATGACTCTATCTTTTGAAGTTGACCTTCTTCCAAAAACCAAGACCTACAGAGAGGCAAACACTTATTCGCTTGAAAACAGGTGCATTTTGTTTTCTTTTTCTTTTTCTTTTTGAGACAGAGTTTCGCTCTTGTTACTCAGGCTGGAGTGCAATGGTGCGATTTCGGCTCACCGCAACCTCCGCCTCCTGGGTTCAGGCAATTCTCCTGTCTCAGCCTCCTGAGTAGCTGGGATTACAGGCACGCACCACCATGCCCAGCTAATGTTACTAGAGACAGGGTTTCACCATGTTGACCAGGATGGTCTCGATATCTTGACCTCGTGAGCCACCCGCCTCGGTCTCCCAAAGTGCTGGGATCACAGGCGTGAGCCACCTCGCCTGGCCGCATTTTGTTTTCTTAAACATCTAAAAAGACAGAACTGCATTTAGAAGATGGCAATGCTTCCTTTATCTCCCTATCAGGAAAAATAGTGTGTGCATATATTAGTCATGCTTAATATAGGAAAATGGTGACAAAGGTTTTGGAAACACAGATTAAGTGGAAGATGGCATTACCTAGATATCAGCAACCATAGGATGCTGCTGCTATTGTCCCATCGCTGTAGGAGTAAAAAGGCAAATGTGTGATGGAGAGGAAGGCAGCAAACCACGTTGCCATGTGTGTACCTATGCAACAATCTTGCATGTTCTTCACATGTATCCCAAAACCTAAAATGCAATTTATATATATATATATACATATATATATGAAGATAAATGTGGAGTGATCCAGAGCCAGCAAGTACACATTTGCTACTTCTGTTGGAACAGAGCTCTGCTATCATATTGTTTATCTATTGCTATTGAAACAAATCATCTCAAAACTGGCTTAAAATAACACATGCTATCTCAGTTTCTATGCATCAGAAATCTAGGTGTGAGCCAGTTGGGTCCTTCCTCTGCTTCAGGGTCCCTTATAGGCTTCAATCAAGGTGTCAGTCAGGCTACACTCATCTGAAGGCTCAAATAGGGAAGGAAACACTTTCAAGCTCATGTAGTTATTGGCGGGATTCAGCTCCTTGTAGGCTGCTGAACCTCAGTTCCTCAGTGGCTGTTGGACAGAGTCTGCCCTCAATTCCTTGCCATGCGGGTCTCACGAACATGGGATTTTGCTTCCTCAGAGCATGTGAACCGAAAGGCAAATAGAGACAGTCTGCCAGCAAGACATAAGTCACAATCATTTGCAACCTAGTCAGAGAGGTGGCATGCTTCAACACTGCCATATTCTATTGGTTGACAGCAAGTTACTCAAGAAAAGGGGATGACATGAGGCCATGAATACCAAGAGGTGAGGATCAGAGGAGACCATCTCAGAAGCTACTGACCATAGCTGCTGAGCAGGAACCCAGGACACCAAGCTCCCGCTGATGATGCTGGAGCCACCATTAATGCTCTTGGAGCCCCAGTGCCCCATGGTACTACCCACTGCTTCCACTGTCACAGCCAGAAAAATAGCCTTCCCTTTCTACCACTTTCCAGTCTCCCGTGAGTGCTCACTCCCACTGGCAAATGCTAACTGAAGCCCAGCAACCACGGGAGCTAGGAATACTCTTCTCATGTTTACAGCAGCTTGCAATTCAGAGGAGAAGAAATAGGGATGGGAAAAGGACTAACCATAGGCAATAGCTGGCCCCACAGGAAAGGGATGTTTCTACTCATTTCCACATCTCTCCACTAGACCCATTCCATTCTGCTCATTTTAATCAACAGATGTACCAATGTTATCTGCTCCATATGTGAGGTCCCACTCATCACCTCTTCACTGGAACACCTCCCCCTGCCCCAACCCTGAGCTTGCTTTCTCAGACTGTCCTCCATGTTCCCACCTTTTCTTCCGCTTTGCCTTTTCATTTCCTTTAAGGCTTAGCTAGCCTGTTTCCTGCCCTTGATTCCTCGGGGCTCTTATCTTTGCCAAGTAGTGCTGGATGATAATGGGAAGCCTTTCAATTGATTCCATTCAACCAAGTCTCTTACATAGATGCTAGGTCTCAAACCTAATGCTGGATGCTAGAGTGCAAAAATGGAAAAGAAGCAATTCCTGCCCTTGAAGAGGATGCAGTTATGCCAGGGACACAGATGTCTATGATACCAAGTGATAAGTGCTACAATTCAGGGACATTCTGACAGATTGACTGACAAACCATACAGATTTGCCCTTAATTGGCTGCATGTTATCTGCACTTTCGGTTCTTGCTGGGGAAAAAAAAATGCAACCTTGAACTCTCAGCTGTACAATCCTTATCAAACATACTTACAATAAATAATTTATGGAGGCTCTAAAAGATAAGCAGCCCATCCATTTCTTAAGAGATTCTACAATTTATTCTTCGTGTACACAGATGCGAAATTCAGTTTAACAAATCTATGAAGAACTGTAACAACATGACCCACAGCCTTGTTTTTACAGCCTTGAGTTTTGAAAGAAACCGCTTTCACTCAGCTGCGCTTTGGCATCTCATCATCTGTCTACATGGAGTAACATTTAAAAACTACTGAATGAAATTAGGTCTAAATCCAATATAGGAATATCGAGGGTTTCCTCCCCTGCATCGCAGCCTGCTCATCTTCTAAAGACTTCACAGAGAAGCTCCTCTTAGAGCTCAGACTCCGAAAGAGTTTTCTCAGAACAGTTCATTTGTTTTTATTTTATATATACACCAAAATTTTATAATTAGTTGTGTTTCTATTTTTGCTTTATCTTCCAGAAACTTAGAACCAAATGTGCAGTCCTCTTCTAGAAACTGTGTGAGAGGAGGTGGCAAGCATCTATTTTATTATCCTTGTTTTCCCTTGACTCCAAATCCTCTGTCATTCTTTTGCAGGTATTTTGGCAGGATACCCAAATTCTCTGTAGAATGAGAAATTTTATGTTAATTACAAGTGGATTTACTAATGTATATCTGGTGCTATTTCTTTTTGGCAGGAAGGATCAAGAAAATCAGAGAAAGATGTGATATTTGATCTAAGCCTTGGAAAATGATATTCATCCAGTTTTAGAAGGTTTTTCCATAATATCAGCACTTAGAGACATAAAAAACTCACATGAGTTCATGTGACCAGGTATAAGGGAAGGAGGCTATAAGAACTTGTGTGCTGATTCTCCTGTCAATGCACTATTCTTCCCAGTTAGAAGAGTACTTAATCTGTTAAAATGTGTCCTTACTTTAATGGGCACTTAAAGAGGTTTTCTAATAATTGCAGTTTCCACCAGGAGAATCTTTTTTGATCAAGTAAACTTTTTTCTGTTTATTCACATTATAAAGGCTTCCCAGTCTGCCATAGGTTGGCTATCCTAGAAACAGCCACCAAGAATGCCAGTACCTGTCACGGTCCTCTTTCACAGTGTGGATAGCCAGAACATACCAGAGATCCTATTTCCCAAAGCCTGGTTTATAGTCATCTGCTGCTGCAAAACCATCTCCTGGCCTGACAAAGCCTGCAAAAAGGGGAATGGATGTGTGTGTAGGTAACAGTGCAAGATCTTTGGCATGGCAGGGGCAGATACAGACTCTATTATTTGGTACCCACAAGACATTAAACAATTCACTTCCCCTTCTCTCGTCTTCATTTTCCTCTTACAATTTGGATGTCTCAGAGCTGCTGTCTTTAGTTGATCTCATTATTTTATAATCACACCAGCTATTTTGACAATCTGTGATATTCATAGTCATTGATTTTTTTTTTTTTTTGGAATCTACAAAACATCTACATACATCACCACAAACTCTCAGCTGCTACAGACGACTTTAAAAATGAGTAATTTACCACACTTCAGGAAGGAAATTAAGGCTTGTAATGTTGAGATATGAATAATTGTAGGTACCTTTCATCACTTTGATTTTTCTTTGATAAATATTACAATTATTCAGGCAGCTCAAAACATCATGTGAAAATGTCAGTAAATACACTAACAAATCTAGCTCTTAAGTGAGTCCCCACCAAGGTAACATGCAAACAGCCATTTGCTGGAATCACATATGAAAAGTATTAGGCTTTGAGGATCGGGATGATTTCCAGTCTGTAAAGTGGCCTATTTGAGAAAAAAGAATCATCTCCAGGAAAGAATTAACAGATCCATGGGTTTTTGTTGTTGTTGTTGTTGTTGTTGTTGTTTTATTATTGTTAGTTAATTTCAAGATTTTTCAGTGTTTCTTTTTATAAATACCAAAGGAGACAATTTGGATTAACTCCAATGGCCATTAGCTTTTATGGGGAGCTTTAGGCCAGGACAGAATCCAAAATGAAAGAAAATGCCATGTGGGGCCCACACAGACCGTTGTAAAGAAAATTTGCCTCTCATCTCCAGGAGAGTCTGGTAGGGCCTGGGCAAGCATCCTCTGACCACAAGCAAAACACTGACCTCGAAAGGCACCAGCATCATAGGGGATTCTCAGGATTCCAAGTGTTCTGTGTATATCAGCAAGAAGCAGCAAGGCAGCATGGCTGTCCTTGAAAGAGAATGAAAATAAATGCTGTCATAAGCATTCTAGCCCTCAGATGCCTAAATACACATCACTCTTAATTGACTCCACCTAGGACTCAGCCCTGACTTCCTCATCCACCACACAATCAGCCCTCCAACTCCAGTCACTATTACCTGTACCCATGCCATTGCATTAAACATGCAACTATTTAGCTCCACGTAAGCCTAACACTTCGTCTTTCTTAATAGATTTGCATGTGCAGGTTAGGTCTTTGCAGACTATCCTCCATTCCTGAGATTCATGGAACTTTCACTCAGCAGAGAGCCCTTGGCTAGGCCTTTTGCAACTGGGTTAGGCTGAGACTATGAGTAGTTAGAACATGATCCAATCATTTTTTTTTTTTTTTTAAAAAACCAACCTTCAAAAGTTGGTTTTAAAAGTCTAAATTGGGCCAGGCACGGTGGCTTACACCTGTAATCCCAGCACTTTGGGAGGCCAAGGAAGATGGATCACCTGAGGTCAGGAATTCAAGACCAGCCTGGGCAACATGGTGAAATCCGTCTCTACAAAAATACAAAAATTAGCTGGGCATGATGGCAGGTGCCTGTAATCCCAGCTACTAGGGAGGCTGAGGCGGGAGAATTGCTTGAACCTGGGAGGTGGAGATTGCAGTGAACCAAGATCACGCCACAGCACTCCAGCCTAAGCGACAGAGTGAGACTCCATCTCAAAAAAAAAAAAAAAAAACTAAATTGCTTAATATATAATGAGCTTTTCAGTCAATCAAATAAAATGCCAACAATTTTTAGAAAGTGAAATCTATAAAGAGACATTCACTGAAAAAGAAAAAAAGTTTTGTTTTGTTTTGAGACAGGGTCTCACTCTGTTGCCCAGGCTGAAGTGCAGGGGTGACATTACAGTTCACTGCAACCTCAATTTCCCAGGCTCAAGCAGTCCTTCCATCTTCAGCCTCCTGAGCAGCTAGCACCACAGGCACACATCACCATGCCCAGTTAATTTTTTTATTTTTTTGTAGAGATAGGGTCTCCCTGTGTTGCCTAGGTTGGTCTCAAACTTCTAGGCTCCAGCAATCCCTTCGCTTCTCAAAGTGCTAGAATTACAAGAGTGAGCTGCCACGCCTGGCCTACAATTGTTTTTGAAATATATAAAGGGGTGAGGGGTATTCAAAGTCTCTCTTTTAATGAAAAAAAAATTAGAACAGTAAAACATGTTTCTCTGTATCAGATTGAGAAAGATTAGAAAGGTTATATAGTAAGGCAGACTTTTGAGAAAGATTAGAAATGTTATATAATAAGGCAGACTTTCATGAATTATTGGTGGAAGTATAAATTGCTGTAATTCCATTGTAGGATAATTAACTAATATTGAAATTTTAGTCCATTTATACTTTGACCCTTCCATTTCACATGAAGGAATGTATCCTTCAAAAATATGCTACATGTAAGCAAAATTAGGTTGCTAGGATATTTATTGCAACATTATCATAATAAAAAAATACACCATAAATGACAACCAGTATTGGAGATCTCTAAATGTCCAAGATTCTGCAGTTATTAAAAGGGATGAGGTATATCTCTATGAATAAAGATGTCCAGGACAGGCGGTCAGCTGAAGAACAGGTTTGACCAAGTCATGGGCAACATCCTGTTATTTGCTCCCATCGCAAAGTAAGCACCTCCAGTGTCCAGAACTCTTCAAACAATCGAAGAAACCCACCTTCAGACAGCAAGTGAAGGCAATATAGGTAATATCTGCATCTGATAAGGATTAAAGGGAAAATAAAACTCCTCAGGCAAGTATCTGTCTCTTGGTGTTCTCAAATTTTCATCTCATGGTGGTGAAAACATACCAAGATATAATCTTGCTCAGAAAAAGGGGGGGCTGCCTATGTTTGCCAGGCCCTAGAATAATGCCTTATATTTATAATAAAAAATAAAGTTCAGCTCCAATTAATGAAATAAAAACAAAAGCCTTTCTTATTAATTGGTTGCCATAAACACAATAAACACACAACAAAACACTAATTACCAATAAATCTTCAATAAATTTAAGTAAAGATACAATTTACAACAACCAGCTCTCTTTTTACAAAACTCCAGCTATCTTCTCTCACTACTTAATATAATCTTCCTGCACAACCCCACTCCTGTCCTGCTTTAAGAAAAAAATTAACTTTCCTTCACTAAAATTCAGGTATCAAATAGCTTGTCCACAGTTCCCTGGATGCTAGCTTAGGGCAGCAGCTATCAGAGTTCATTGATTTGCTGCTAGCAAATTGAAAGATTTAATGGTGTGGCTTCCACATGTTGCTAGTTGATCAGGTCTCACTGGGGTCTCTCCAAATGGGAAAAGAATTGCTTCCTGCTAATCTCAGGCAGCAGCACTGCGTCCACATCCATTTCCACACTGATCTTAAACAGAAAGAAGACAGAGAAAGATTATGTTTCATTCTCCCACTGCGTCTACATAAAACCCAGTTGTCGCCCCTTTCTGATCAGCAAGATGTTACCTTGGCAACTACTTTGTACAGCTCTTATTCGTCTCTCTTTTAAAGCTCATCATTTGTGTAAAAGTTATTTTGGCTCCTAATGAGTAAGAGGAGACATTAGCCAGCCTGACTGCTTCCCTGGTACTTCCAGACAAAGGTTGTGAAACTGGCAGCCCAGGGACCAAATTAAACACTCAGACATGTTCGACCTACACGAAATTTTTGGTTTTGTTTATTGGATTTTTTTTAACGTGAGTTAACATTTACAAACCAGAAGATCTAAAATGAAAATGCAGATTTGCAGTTCTCTTTAATTACGTTTAGACCTGAAGTCACTGGGCCCACATTCTTCACAAGCAGCTGTTGCTTCATACTGGTCGCTGCCCTCCGCTCGGCCCAATTCCTTGGATTAGATTACCCGGGTGGCATCTGGGTTGTGACCTCTCTTCTAGGTAGGATATATGCCATTTTATAAAAAGTGCTAATATTTAGAACTGAACAAAAGTTGTTTTTAAGCTATCTGAAGCTTTCAAGATGTTTTTGTTTCTCAAAATTCAGCAGAACTTCAAATTCACCAAATGTCTTCCCACATGCACAAGATTTTTCAACATTATCCTTAACTTTCAGCACCATGGCTAATGAAGCTCAGAAACTTAAGACACTTTGAGGGTTTAACCAAGAAAAGGCAAAGCTGAGGAGAGAAACGATCCATGTCTACTGATCAGCAAGAGCGGCAAGGAAGCTGGTAGGGAAGGCAAAAGGCCGCGGTCCTCAAACTTGAGTGTGCATTAGGACCACCTGAAGGGCTTGTTGGAAGCAGAGATCTCTGGATCTGAGATTCTGATTCAGTAGGTCAAGAGTGGGGCCTGAGAATTTACATGTCTGACAAGTCTCCAGTGAGGCTGACGTTCCCGGTCTGGAAACCACACTTAGAGAAACGCTGAGATCTTTTTGTATCAAATATATCTGTAAATGCACACTGGCTGATATTGTTTGGATATTTGTCCCTGCCCAAATCTCATGTCGAATTGTAATCCCCAGTGCTAGTGGTCGGGCCTGGTGGGAGGTGTTTGGATCATGGGGGTGGATCCCTCATGGCTTAGTGCTGCCCACGCAATAGTGAGTGAGTTCTCAAGAGATCTGGTTGTGTCAGAGTGTGTGGCATCTCCCCCTGCCAATCTCTCTCTCTTTCTGGCTTGCTCCTGCTTTCTCTATGTGAAGTGCCTACTCCTGCTTCACCTTTTGCCACAAGTAAAAGCTTCCTGAGGCTTCCGCAGAAGCAGATGCCAGTGTCATGCTTCCTGTACAGCCTGCAGAACCATAAGCCAATTCAATCTCTTTTCTTAAAAATTACCCAGTCTCAGGTATTTCTTTATGGCAGTGCAAGAACAGCCGACTACAGTGGCCAAACACAAAAGAAGTTTATTTCCCTTTCATGAAATAGTCCAGTCTGGGCATGACGGCTCACTGTAACCCTAGCACCTTTGGGAGGCCTAGACAGAAGGCTCGCTTGAGCCCAGGAGTACAAGGCAGCAGTGAGCTATAGTCACTCCACTGCATTCCAACCCTGGGTGACAGAGCAAGATCCCAAAAAAATCAAGTTTTCTCTCAATCAGTGATTCAGGAACCCAAGCTTCTTTGAGTTTATCCCCCTACTAACCACTAGGAGGAGGACGTAGGGATGAAAGTGGGAAAGGTACCAGGAAAGTGGGCTAATTTTTAAAACCCTTGGCACAGAAGTAACATACATCACTTTCACTCACATTTCATTGGTGAGAACAAGTCACATGACCATATCTATCTGCAGAGTGTTGAAAAAATAAGAGTCGCTAAATGAGCAGCCACCTCCCAGCAGCAATTCTGTAGAAAACAAAATGGAGAACTCACATTTTTTTGTTTTGTTTTGGTTTTGGACAACTAGCTAATTCCACCTAAGCAGCTGTGAATGTGCCTCACTCTTGCCTCCACTGATTTTCTTCCCCAGTCCCAGAAGGCCCTTCTCTCTTCTCGTTGCCCATCGACACCTCAGCACCCTCCTGGTAATTCACCTCCACCAGAATTCCCAGTAAAAAATTTCCCGTCTTTTATGTTGGGATGTAGCCAAAATAACTTTCCTCAAGAGTTTCTTGTTTCCTTGAGGATATTTTTAATGATCATTATGACGTTAAAGAACAAGAGTTGCTCTTCTGCAGTTAATCAAAAGGAAAAAATAAACTGATCGCATTTTTAAAGTTTGATTAAAGGCTTACTAAAGTTAAGTATCCCATCAGATTTGTTTACCAAAAATTAACAGATAAATAGACAAAGTAAATAGGTAATAAAAGGTGCCTAAAATAATTAACATCTCAACATTAAAACCTAAGTATCCTCCTGAGATGAATTAATACTTTCTAAAATCATCTCTAGCTCCTGGGATCTAAAGTAAGTTATTGAGGTGATCTCTGTGGTCTAAAATCTATTAAAACTAAGAATGTGAAAATAATATAAAGAATGACCCATTTACCAATTCTCAATTCTCTAGAAGGAATTGAGATAAGGGTACTGTTGGGGTTTGAGGAGGCTCAATGTCCCATTCTGGTTTGGAGCCAGTTGAGAGAAAGATCCAGGAGCCAAGTAGAGAAGCATTAAAATGTCAGCCTTACTCATGGCTTGAAGTCTGCTAACCAAATGAGCTTGCTAATTCCCAAATGAGATGGACCTGCCCAATCACAGGTATGCAGTCTCCCATGGGGGGCCTGCTCCTGTCATGTACGGCATTGAGGAGCATAGACAGCTGTCTGCACACCGGTAGGTGACTAAGAGAAAATAGAAAGGGGCTGAGAATCACATGCTCAGCCACTGTACCCCAACTCACTCATCAGCTAGCTCACTCCTCCTCCCATGAGGGGAAGGGAAAAGGGGCATGTGGGGAGCCACGGAGCTAGGAGTGTTATTCTGAACCAGTCCGTACACACAGAAACAGAAGAATAGGGAATGTCTCCTCTCAGCCTGTAACAGAACAGTCAATGATGATAACAGATTTCAACTACAAGTAGAAAATGAGTCTTAACTTTTAAATACACAGAGTAAAACAGACGCATCCAAATGGTTAGAGTGCTCAACATTTTTAGTTAGGAAAAGACATTTCTCTCACCTGCCATGGAGACCCCATCATACCCTTGAGTTACTACAGTTCACAGTGGTTGCCATTATCGGATTTAGCATTTTCCTACAGATGAAAGATAAACAAGTACCTTAGTCCCAGCTGCTACAATAAAGTAGTGTAGACTGGGGGGCTTACAAACAACAGAAATTTCCCACCATTCTGGAGGCTGAAAGTCAGAGATCAGGGCGCCAATATGGCGAGGTGCTGGCAAAGACTCTCTTCCAGGTTGCAAACTGCCAGTTTTGTGTTGTATCCTCCCAAGGTGGCAAGCGGAGGAGCTAGGTCTCCCGCCTCTTTGCATAAGGCACTAGTCCCATTCATGAGGGTTCTTTCCTCATGACCTGATTACCTCCCAAAGGCCTCACCTCCAATCCATCACATTAGGGATTACGTTTCAACATATAAATTTGAAAGGGACAAAAACATCCAGTGCATAACACCAAGTATAAAAGTGGACTGAATTTATGTTTTTGCCCTAGGATGAAGTAGGAATGAGTAACCAGAAGAATACAGTTAACAGTTTAGGAAAGAGATTCAAACAAAATAGGAAGTTCATACTGATCTGGATCTGACTCTAGAATGTAAGCTCCATGAGAAAAGGCTCCTTGTCTGCACCATTGTATTTCTCCCCAGTGCCTAGAATGGGGCCTCTGGCATATAGTAGAGGTTCAATAAAATTTGCAGAATGAGTTAGGAAGGGAAGCTTTGAAATCAGAAAAAAAAGAAAAATCTTTTGGGGGTTTAGTGGTCACAAAAGAACAGTGTCACTTGGGATTGAAGATAATAATTTGACCCTACTAAAATGATCCTACTTCATGCTGGTGAAGGAGAATCTAGTAGACCTAAAAGAGCTCAAGAATTAGAGGAAGCTAAGCACAGTGGCTCAGGCCTGTAATCTCAACACTTTGGGAGGCTGAGGTGGGAGGGTCGTTTGAGCCCAGGAGTTCGAGACTAGCCTGGGCAACATAAGGAGGCCTCACCTGTGCAAAAAAATTAAAATAAAAAAAATTAAAATTTTAGAAAAACAATTAGGAAACCAAAAAATATCTGCAATGACAAGAATCTTTGAGGTAATTTAATGTAGTAATTCCCAACAAAAATCAGCTATACATTAGAAACACCTGGGGAGTTTGTTTTTTTTAATTCTGATAGGCAGACCCCGCTTCCTAAGATTCTGACCCAGGCCCCTGTAACCTACAATAGGAGGAATAGCAGAGAAGAGGGGCAGCCTGGAGTCAGGCCCGGGTCTAATTCACTTTGCCCCCTAGGGCGCCTAACACAGACCATGTTTTCTGTCTAGAACCAAGTAAAGAACAGAGAACTGCGTTCTCAGATGGTTATCACAGGAGAACGCACAACCTGGTCACTTGGGTGTCCCTGGAAGCCCTCTTGGGAGAGGGGTGGCGGAGTGACACCTTCTCGTTAGACCCGACCTGTTTTATCCCCACGTTCTCCAAGAGTGTATCAGATGACGGAGTCTGTCCATTTCAAACAAGACTTCCTCCAAATCATTCTACAAACCATCACCCAACGAGGATGGCGAAATCTTTGATTTTGAAATTTCAGTGGGCCCCAACAGGCCCCCGCAGCAGCTGGGGGGCCGTGGGACGCGCTGCGTGACGTCCGCGGCGGTGCGCTCACGGCACCTTCGCTCGGCGGAGTCCGAAGCCTCCCCACTCCGCGCCGCGGCCCGGTGGACAGGTCCCGCCCGAGGAGCGGCGCGGCGCGCGGAGCAGCGGGGACGTCCCGGGTCTCGGCCGCTCACTCGCCCGGGCGTG